ACTGACCTAGTAGAAAGAAAAGAAAATGGTTTCATACTTTCTGTAATTGAAAGGCAAAAATTTTAGTTCATAAAAGCACTGAATAAATACAATGAATCTAGGGGACCAACAAGAAAATTATTATATACTATGAGACACAAAAAGAGGTATGAAACATTTTGCTTCTGAACCAGTCATTTTAATCTAGTCTCCATTTGGGAGAGGGGGGTGAAAAAGAATTTCTCACTCAACAAATAAGTTCTAGCTGGAATCAATATTTAACATAGCAAATGATAAATTATTGCCTAGAGTCTAGACAATCTAGGCTGCATTTGGGGAAGAAAGGTCCCTTCTAAAATTCATTCTTCACAGCAACCAGAATGTTGTTTTTAAAAATGTAAACTAGATCATGTCACTTCCCTGCTGAAAACCTTTAAAGGCTTAGCATTAAATTGAGGACAATATTCATTTATTCATTCAACAAACATTTATTGATCCTCCCCTACACACCAGGCTCTGCTCTAATCAAAGTCACAGCTTGCACAGAACTTCTATTTTAGTGGGAGAGACAGACAATAAAGTACCTGCACTAGACAACCTCAGATAATGATTAGAAATGTGAAGAAGGTAACCCTGAGCTGTCAGTTATGTGGACAACTTTAGGTTGGTACAATCAGAGAAGGCTTTTCTCTGTGACCTGAATAAAAAGGAGGTAAGGATCTGGTGAAGATTACTGCAGATCTAATGGTGGAGGAGACAGTGGTTTCACAGGCCTGAAGCTAGGACCAAGCTTGATGAGTTCGAGAATGAAAAGAATGGCCAATGAGGCTGACGCCAATTATAAGAGCTGTAGGAGTCAGAATTACAGAGATAGGCAGTAGATTACCCTAAGAATGCTCCAATACCAACCCATATGATGGGATACTATTCTGCCCCCCTCCCCAAAAGGAATGAACTCATGCTAGTGTATGATGAACCTTGAAAACACTATGCCAAATGAAAGAAGCCAGTCACAAAAGACCAGATATTGTATGATTCCATTTAAATGAAATATCCAGAATAGGCAAATCCACAGAGATAGAAAGATCAGCAGTTACTGAGAGCTAAGGTGAAGGGATAGGAAATAGGGAAAGGGGATGAGGTTTCTTCAAGGCTACATTTTTATTTATTTATTTATTTTTTACAAATAATACTTTCCATGGCCATGATTTAACATTTTTTTAAATACATTTTATTGATTTTTTACAGAGAGGAAGAGAGAGGGATAGAGAGTTAGAAACATCGATGAGAGAGAAACATCGATCAGCTGCCTCTTGCACACCCCTTACTGGGGATGTGCCCGCAACCAAGGTACATGCCTTTGACCGGAATCGAACCCGGGACATTTCAGTCCGCAGGCTGGCGCTCTATCCACTGAGCCAAACCGGTCTCGGCCAAGGCTACATTTTTAAGGACAACAATTATTAGAATTTTGTTAATAAGACTATACACTGCAATTTATTAGTGGGTCAGAAAGGAAATAAATTTTAGTCAATCATCTGTGGGTCATATCAACAATGTTTAATGGAATTAAAATATCACAGTGCTTAGAACCAAAAGGTGGCAAGGGGTTGGTCTTAGGATTCCCATTGTATGTTTCAGGAGCCCCTGAAAGCCATCACAAATAAACAATATTAGCAAAAACAGTAAGCTTGCTATGCAGAACTAACGCTAATCAGATGGTTGCTCCTAAACCTCTCCTATATAAAAACTCTGAAGCTAATGCACACAAATACTCTCTCATTTAAAACATATTACAAATCCACAAATATTCCAGCCTTAGTCAACACTTGAGGGCTCAAGTAAGCACATGCACATACACATAAATCACAAAGAAACTGCCAGCGAGGAATCTAAACCATTACCTTGTACCAACCTAAAATCTTGCAGAGCCTCCGATAAAACACTCAGCCTTCTGAGCTGGTTTTCACCTCAGTAAATCTGGAACAATGTTTGTCTCCTCCACTTCCATAAAGAGATCACATTAGCATGCACAGTAAAGTGCTTGGAGTGCTTCCTAAAAGCAATGGACTGCCAACTCATAAAGCTTGTTAATTCATTGGGAAAGAAGACCAAGGTGACCTTGCATAAAAAAGCAAAACCTCTACAAGGTGGTGGGTCTTTTCCCCCCTCCTTTCCTTCACAGGTTTTAATTCAAGTGTGCTGCCAGGGACTTCAAAATAGCATGAAAGGGATCATTAAAACAGTGAGATGTTAGTCCACTTTGTGCTACAGAACTTGGTTGTAATAATCTTTAACCATGGGCCATACACTCCTAGATCTAAGGTTGAGCTTCAAAGGGCCTATGAAGTCCCCAAATGGTATACTGAGTGAGAGGGCACACATGCACAAGACTAATATATTTTCCCTTGGGTGAATCAATAATTCCCCATACAGAGGAAGGGGCCCTCAACAAACAGCAGACAAATTTTAGTTCTTATTCAGCTACTAACTTGCATTGTTACCTTGACTAAATCATTTTAATCTCTGTGTGCCTCAGTTTCCTTATTTTCCAAAGGCAATATTTGTTTTATTTACTTCAAAAGGTGGTTGTGAGGATGAGAAAATTTTGATGAAAGTGCTCTGCACCAGTCAAAAAACTGTAATTTTTATCTCTTTTAAAATCACCGTTAGATGCTGATAAAAAGCCTGCCTGGGGATGGCTCCTATCTACCTAGAAAGGAACAGTAAAAGAATTAAAGAATGCAAATAATGACACAATTAAAATTCACCTTCCTCCCACTTCCCAGCTCCTGGATTTGCTGAGCCAAACCACTCTGGGGAGATGTAAAGATCACAAGTTCAGTCTCTGCCCAGCTCAGGCTGCTCAGTGACCAGTGTTTCACACTGATAAATACTTCCCAAGTCTCAGAGCACAAAGTGAGAGTTCATAAGGTTAGGCGCATTAATTAGCAGTACTCATCTGGATTCTGTATTCATCAAATAAAACAAGCAGCTATTCAATATTTGCTTATTCACACTACTCTAAGATCTCGAATTCAAAGATTTGGCCAGAGAACAGGAAAATAAACTAAAATAAACCTGTCCCCATCAGAATGTGCCTCAAAGTGAATGAGAAGCCTTACACATGGCAAAGGGTCTGCACAGGCCTAAAGTAGAAGTAGTGTAAGTACTGAACACACAGGTTACAGTGGTGGGATCCTGCTGCAAAAGAAGAGAAAATAAGTAGCTCCAAGCAAAGCCTCTACTTTTTGTGCTTTAACAAATTCCTCTTCATTCCTTTTGCTTGATTCCTTATTGATCTGTAATGCCCACAGGAAGATCAGAGCATTATACAGTACCCTTTCAGATTCTTTTAAACTCAGTAAGTCTATTCCCATACTTTATACTTCAATTAGTTTTATCTTCGTATATTTAAAATCAGCCTGCATGCAAAACAATAAACACTTTGTAAATAATTAAATACATGCATCAGTATGCAAGATTAGATTAAGAGACTTCCTGTGACCCCTTCTACGTTAAGAGTCATAGGTGAAAAGCACAGAAATAGAAAATATCACTCCTTTAAAACAGCCCACAGACCTTGATTTGCTTACCAGAATCCCCTATAGGAATTGCTATATATATGAATAACACAGCCCAATCTTAGACCTACTCAATCAGACTCCTTAGGGCTAGATTTTCAGGCAACAATATTTTTCTGATATATGAACATGATATAGAACTACTATCAAAGGGCATATATTTTAAAGCTTACAGAATCTCTAGAGCAAACCCAAACTAAAAAGAAAGGGGAAAAACCCCTCTATCATCTTTGGATTTGGGGTAAATGACCCCATCTTTCACTGAAAACTTCCAGAGACCATCTTAAATTCCAACAGCAATGATCCCATAGAGATACACAGAGGTGAGCAGCACTTTATCTCCCTTGTTCTCCAATTCTCCCAGGGCTCTTGTGATGACAACCCAGCACCAAAAAGGTGAGAACTGGGCAAATACTCTCAAATCTGGAAACCCCTCCCCCCAGAGGTGACTACTGATTATGGGGCCATCCTAGTTTTTAAAATCAGCTGCAGGGGCTTTGATGAGGTTCAAGTAATAGCTAGAAAGGGGAAGTGTGTCAACTTTGGGTTAGCATTCTGATGACACATATCCCTTAGACAAGTCTAATAATGGTGGCACATACAAGAATCAACCAATAAATGCATAAGTAGAACGACAAATCAATTTCTCTTTCTCTTTCTCTCTCCCTCTCTCTCTTAATAAATAAATAAATAAATAAATAAATAAATAAATAAATAAATAAGATTTTTTTAAAAGACTGTCAAGGAGGTAAATTTCAAAGGCTAGGTGTCTTAAGCCATACGATCTGTCTGAAGCAGCCTTACCTATTCTTCTGCCCTAACTCTGCTCCAGCCTCAGCTGCTCAAAGCTTCAAATAGCAAAGGACAGAGAAGGCATTTTATATACACTCACCTAAACCAGACAAAGGATGTCCAGTAGGATGCAGTTCTGCGCTAGCCCACAATAGGGCCTGGGCTCTTTCCAGCGGTCCTCCCTATCTAACAAAGAAAGACAGCAGAAACTTCCCTTCCACAAGCAAGCCTTCCCTGATTAAAACCATATGGCTGAATTCCCCCGGGAGGAGAATGGAATTTTCTTGTTGCAGATTACTGCAGGACTAAAAAAATTTGTGCAAGCAGCAGCTAAGTGACAGACAATAAAGAGACAAATCCAGCATTTAGAATTATGAGGCACCAAGAAAACCTGGTTTAAAATTATTATATGGCCTGGAGAAGAAAAATAAAAGCAATTATGATTGCACTTGAGTGATTTTTCCCCCTATAGTATCCACAATTTCAATAAGGTGATTACAATACTTTTAACCATATCACTCTCCAAAATAAATAATTTCAGGCATAGCATCCTTAGTTACACACACACAGACACACACACACACACACACACACACACACACACACACACACACATCATCTGAGTTATAAATAGCAGATACCAACCTGGCTGTCCCGTGCTGGGAATCCATGATAACCTGGGGTCAGAGGCTCGTTCTACAAGAAGGAAAAGAAAGGAAAACTATAAGAAAAAGAAAATGTTAAGAATAATCCAAATTGATGAAATATAAATCCCTGCACCAGACCCTAAGGTGTTCTGTTGCTATATTCCACTCTAGCTAACTACAAACATTTCCCAGGTCAGCCTCCACAAAATCAAACACACAAGAAAACCATTATTTGCTTACAAACACTAGTTTCCTCCTTGTTCAGATAAATCTATTTCTTTCCCAGTATACCAGTATATCATCCAGGTAGCTACTGGGATTTGGGGCCAAACCATTCCTACCCTCACACTGTGGGACTTTAGCATCCCTGGCCCCTAAACACTAAAGCCAGTAGCAGTACTGAAACCAGGACAACCCAAAATGTCCACACATTTCCAAAAGTCTCTGGTTGGAAAGGCGACAGTACTACCTCTACTGAGAACTACCTCTAGCCCCGAAAAGTTTTAGCCCTTCCTTCTACTAATCTGTTCTTTTAAACCTGGATGAAATTCCACCTCTGTTCTAGACTTCCTCTAACACCCTATATTATGTTGTGGACTCCAGTAACTCCTAACATGTATACTTGTTAAAATTTGTTTAAGTTACTTATACAATTTAATTTTCATATTACTTATGACTCAATAAATCTTATTTTTGTAAAGTTGTATCATATTCAGTGTCTCATATTCACATTAATCATTAAATCTAGATCTTTGAGGGCAAAAGTGATAGTTAATACAAACCATACAAACCCTAACTTAGTATAGGGTCATACAATATGAGCACTTATTTATGGCTTACTGGACCTATTCAATCATTAGGTCAACATATATTGAATGCCTATATTTTCAAAACACTGTTTAATGGCTCAAAGTAAGAAAGATGAAAAAAACAACACAAAAAACAAGTCCCTTTCCTTCAAGGGAACTTTTAAATGGGAGGTACACACAAAGGTGTAAATAAGAGCTTATGGTGCTCTTGTAATTTTTTCTTCCAAGTGTTCAACACAGCTACCTGAAAGACCCTCATATTCTTCCATCCATTTGTACTTGCATCCCTACTAGCAGAATAAGAAGAATTTTCATTGATAGTGCTTTCATAAAAAGAGTGTAAACTTTCAACCTAATGGTGCATCTGCTTTGTTCATATCCATAGCGTTTATAATCAAAGTCCACACTCCTTTCAAAAACTTGAAAGCCAGGATTCAACTTAAGCTCATCTGCAGACCCCATGTCTTGTTCTTCATGGTTTTCCTATGATTTAGCAGTGTCTAACACATGATGAACACCCAAAATAATGTGTAAATAAATAAATGGAGTTCAATAACCAGAAATTATTTAGGCATTTAGTCGCTGATTCAATCATAGATAATGTGGCGCTCTTTTTTTATTCTTAAATCTTTATCTGGACATTTATAAATTAAGCCTCTCTGCAGAAAACACACAAAAAGGTAATTGCCTTAAAAAAAGCGTAGGTGCCAAAACAATCTTGAGAAAGAAGTGCAAAGTTCGAAGGACTCATACTTTCTGATTTCAAAGTTTACTACAAATTTCAGTAATCAATGTAGTGTAAATACTGGCATAAGGACGGACATATAGACCAATGAAACATTACTGGAAGTCTCAAAGTAAATCTTTAGTTAAAATAAATTGAGTTTTGATAGGTTGCCAAGAAAAGAAAAAAAAAATCAATGGAGGACAAAGTATCCTTTCAACAAATGACGATGAGACAACTGAATATTCCCCTGTAAAAGAATAAAGTTGGTACTCTATCTCAGAACATATACAAAATTAATTCAAAATACATCATAGACTTGACACCACAGAACTCTTAAACACAGGAGTAAATCTTCATGGCCTTTGATTAGGTAATAGTTTCTTCAATATGACACCAAAACCAGAAATAAAGGAAAAAACAGGTAAATTGGACTTAACCAAAATTTTGCATATTAGCCTTTTCTTGTATAGGATAATATTCAATTACAGATATACTAGAGGTCCAGTGCACGAAATTCATGCATGAAACTCAGCCCAGCCTGCACCCTCTCCAATCTGGGATCCCTCTCACAATCCAGGACTGCTGGCTCCCAACCACTCGCCTGCCTGCCTGCCTGCCTGCCTACCTGCCTGCCTGCCTGATTGCCCCTAACCCCTTCTGCCTTCCAGCCTGTTTACCCCTAACCACTCCCCTGCCAGTCTGATCGATGCCTAACTGCTCCCCTGCTAGCCTGATTGCCCTTAACTGCCCTCCCCTGCAGGCCTTGTCCCTTCCAACTGCCCTCTGCCGGCCCAGTCACCCCTAATTGCCCTCCCCTACAGGCCTGATCACCCCCAACTTCCCTATCTTACAGGCTTGGTTCCTCCCAACTGTCCTCCCCTGCTGGCCATCTTGTCACGGCCATCTTGTGTGTTGGAGTGATGGTCAGTTTGCATATTACCTCTTTATTATATAGGATAACACGTTGTTCACTATCAACATTTGGATTGTTTCTACTTTTTTGGCTATTATAAAATAATGCTGCTAGGAACATTTGTGAACAAGGTTTTGGGTGGACATACAGTTTCATTTTCTTGCTTATATAATACTTAGATGTAAAATTGCTGGGTCATATGGTAAATCTGTTTTAACATTTTCAGGGACTACCAAACTGTTTCCAAAGCGTCTGTACCATTTTACATTCCTATCAGCAATGTATGAGATTCCAATTTCACCATACCCTTCCCAATACCTGTAATTGACCAACTTTTTTATTATAGCCATCCAAGTGGGTGTGAAATGTTATCTCACTGTGTGTGTGATTTGCATTTCCCTAATGACTAACGCTGTTGAGCTTCTTTTCATGTCTTTATTCACCATTTGTATATCTTCTTTGGAGAACTTCCTGTTCAAACCCTTTGCTCATTTTAAAATTTGGGTTGTCTTTTTATTGTTGAGTTGTAAGAGTTCTTTATACTATATTCTGAATACAAGTCCCTTATCAGATATATGATTTACAAATATTTTCTCTCATTCTGAGGTTTCCTATTCACTTATTGGTGTCTTCCTCCACCCCCAACTGTATTGGGTTATTACTGATGTATAACATCATGTAAGTTTAAGGTATACGATGTGTACATTTGATTCACTTATATATTGTAAAGTGATTACCACCTCAGCCTTAGCTAATACCTGCATTATGTCATATAATAATAAAAAAAAATTTGTGTGTGAGAACATCTAAGATCTCCTTTCTTAGCAATGTTCAAGTATATAATATAGTACACTGGGCCTCTAGTTCAGCAATAAACAGGAATGCAGTACTGATACAACATGGATGAATCTTGAAAACATCAATGTTAAGTGAAAAGAGAGAGAGAGAAAGAAAAATGGCTATGAATTGTACAATTCCATTTATATGAACTATCCAGAATGGGCAAATCCATAGAGAAAGAAAATAAATTAGTTATTCCAGAAGCTAAATGGGAGGAATGGGGAGTGATTGCTGATGGGTACTAAGTTTATTTTTTGTAAGGAAATTATTCTGGAATTAGAGAGTGGTAATGGATACACAATACTATAATTATATATTAAAATCTACCAAACCACTAAAAAAAAAAATACTTTATAAGGGCACGATTTATGGCCTATGAATTATGTCAATAAACCTATTTAAGAATAATAATTACAGGCAAAGTTGACTATCATCACACAAATTTTTACAGGGAGACACAGATAGCTTCGACTGTAACCAAAGAACAGGGATCCTTTTGAAATCTATAAGCACTTTGTTTGTTCTTAATTCTACAAACTGTTTAACACCATTCCCTACAGATTTTAACAACAATGATAATAACACTAGATACTAAGCAACTGATCAGGTATAGTTTCAAGAAGGAGGTTGTAAATAGGAGATGATAAAGTAGAGCAACTAAGTGGAAAAGCAAACTTTCAACCTAGGTCTGTTGGACTACAAAGCCCCTGCTCTTTCCATTTTATCAAGTTCTCTTCTCTAATAACCATTCCATGTTATTCTTTTATAATGAGTATTTCAAGATTGTCTGAAAGAAGAATTACATAATTAAAAAAGTAATCAAAAACATCCAAAAGCATAATTAACAGTGATTCAACACTCCCAGAGAATATGCATGTTTAAACCATATTCTTAGGTACAACAATGCACAAAATTTCTTATAAGGAATAAAAAATCACATTCCTACAAGCCTGTATTGTCAAAATTTGAATAGCAAGGACAGATAAAACAGCCTTCGCAAAGCAGTACTCTTCTATGTCTCCATCTCACAGATAGGCCATTTGGAAGTCTCCAGCCCTTCGGAAATGTCCTGACTCTCTGAAAGTGGCCGGTGCTTAATGACAAAGGCTGGCTTTCCTTTTTAACTTTATCATGCATATATCTCTTCCTTCAAAATACATTAACTTTGGGTGTCTTTGAAGTTTATAAAAATGGATCCTATTTTATGTATTTTTTAGCAATTTCCTTTTTTTACTCAACACTAGAGATCAATTTCACTAATTCTGACTACTGTTTAATATTCTAGTTTATGAACATGTCACTATTTACCTTATTTTCTTCTTAATATACATTTAAATTGTTTCCAGGTCTTTGTGTTTGCACTCAAACAATACTCCTATAAATGTTCTTTCAGATTTGAGGTATTTTTTACTCATGAGATTGGTGAAAATAATACACAAATTGTCAAGAAGAGTACATAGATATCTTCACATCTAACAGTAGGAAGTTAAGTATATTGGGACCATTGTTTTGGAAAGCAGTGACAATAATAATTAAAATATTAGTGCAAGTATTTTCCTATAATTTCACATCTTTGATTTCTATCTAAAAAAATCACTTGCACATGTGCTCAAAATTACAAAGCATGTGCAAAAATTTTCAATAGTTTGTAACAATGAAAAACTAGAAAGAACCTCAAGTCTCCATTAAAAGTAGGAAAATAGTATCAACTATTATTTCAACATCCTCTGTACACGTTTTTAAAAAGGTAAAATCTCTAT